TCCTGTATTGAACCTCCTTTATGTCTGTCTATCACTATCATCTGTCTCTGTCCATCTACCTGCCTGCCTGCCTACCTATCTCCATGTGTCTATGTATCCATTGGATCTGTTTCTTTGGAAACCTCTGACTAATCACCAGGGGGTGGGTTAGCAATCAGAGTTCCTTTGGGATGATGGAGCCATTCGGTCTTGATTGTGGAGAAGTCACATGAATCTGTATGTGGGATCACCTTGTATAGAAACATATACACATTCACATACACGAATGCATATGTGTAAACAGTGGAAGCTTTGTCTAGTTACCGGTATTATACCCATGTGATGTCCTGGTTTTGATGTTGCACCATCATTAGAGAACATGTCATCACTGGCAGAAGCTGGATGAAGAATCTGCAGGACTCCACTATTTTTGCAACTTCTGATGAGTCTGTAATTATTTCCAGATAAAATGTTTCTAAAAAGTAAAATGGAATTAGGGACTTTTGCACTTATTGTAGATTTCCTACCCTAGTAATACAAGGGATTGCCTGGCTTTCATACCTTTGACCCTGTATTTGTTCAGATTGTAGCCAGTGGAACTGAGAGCACTGGCAGCCTGCATGGAGACACTGGTTAACGATGGCAGAGATGAAGACACTGAAGTCACAGGATATGCATTATGGAGCTAAGCACTCTTCTGCCAGCCAAGGATCTCCCACTTTCCACCTCTCCCCCAGATGGTCTCTGAAGGAGGAAACATGACTTTCTGCCATGGAGGTTGTGTTGGCCAATGGTCCCACTGCAGTGGAGCAGTGAGGTGCAGGGAAAGTTGGGTAAAGGCCCCAAATGGGCGGGGTTTGCCTGGTGCTGAGCCCCTGGGAACCTGGAGTGTTCCTAAGTGAAGTCTGGACCTCTGGGAGGGACAATAGCTGCTGCTGCCTGACACGGGTATACAATGATTGCAGCCACTCTCAGGCTGGGCCACCTCTGTTGTGTCTCCTGAGTGCCTCAGAAACAATGCAAACAAACAAAAGTCAAAATGAAAGGAAAATCCAGGTCAGGCAGAACAGAGAGGAAGAGATCAGTTTACAGTCAGCCCTCTTCACTAGGGCCCCTACAGGGAGTGTTCCCTTCCCTCCTTCCTCAAGTCCAGGGCCAGGCCCAAGGGTCCCAAGAGGACAGGCAGGGCCTGAGCACTAAAAGCTTTTCCCACGAATAGCAGTTCTGGAGAAGAGCAGCCCTCTCTCCCCTCTGGTGCTTCCTTTCCCTTTCCCAGGGCAACAGGATCTCCTGTCAAGGCCTTTCTTTACCTGCCCATCTACAGACTAGGACGTCTCTGGAATCCAGGTGATTTGGTAGTGGCCATTTTCACCGGCAATTGGTACAAACATTAGCTGTGGTGCTAGGCTTTGCAAAATCAATCAAGGGAGGAAGTGGGACCATCTCTTTTCATAAATGTATAAATGACACTCCCAAAACCCCATCCACCCAACACTAAGACAGGACCCAACAGTTCCTTCATCCACCCCCTCCTCCTGTACCTCTGTTCTAATCTACCATGTCTCTTAGCTCAACTTGGGAAAATGAATCTTTAACCTGTTTCATTTTCACCATTACCCCATTTCTCATCCAGGCTCTTGCCATAACCCCCACAGGTCTCACCAGTTCTACCTTAGCCCCTACAATCTGCTTTCCATCCCACAGCCAGAGTAAGCCCTTAAAATCATATCAAATCAATGGTATCACAACATAGAAGAAAACCCAAACTTCTCATTCTGGCTTATAAAGTTCTCTCCAAGCTTTTGCTCTTCAAAGCTCTTTTTTCCTCCATTTCCCACTGGATTTTCTCTTAGTTCCTCAGATAGGTTGTGCTCAGCCTTGTCTCCCTGACCCCCCTCCCCCCATCTAGAATGTGCTCCCCTGCCTTCATATAGGTAGGCCTGGTCACTTGGGTCTTGGCTGAGCCCTTTCTGCAGGGAGGACTTCCTGTCTACAGGCCCTACTTCAGGAGCCTGCCCATCCCAGCCCTTAACTCAGCATAGCATGGAGCTGCAGGCTGGTCCCAGGAGAGTGGACCCTGAGTGGGAGCTTAGTATATCAGGGGGCACTCTTGGGATCAACAACTGCAAGAGAGGGTAGAAAGATAGGCAAGTTGTCTGTGATACAGACCCAGGGACAGTTCCCAAGGGCTCTGCAGTTGAAAGAGTCCTTCAGAGTTGTCCTGACTTGGGCCAAAGATGTCCAGGGCTTCATCCTCCTGCACTTATCAGTCTTTGCCTGTGGACCTCCCCAGGCCACCCCCAGCAAAGTATGCAGCTGAGCCCATCCCAGGAGCTGAAGGTCACGACCAAGAGCGCTCCCAGAACAAGGCCTTCAGCAAAGACTCATGGGTGGTGTGTCAATTTCCATTATAGCTTATCTCTGCTTGATATTTTTCGAGGTTATTATTACATGCTTCCCCTCCTAGAATGTAAGCTTCACAGAAGTAGGACTTTGCCTTGTATATCACTGTCACCTCAGCCTGGTACAGTAGGTGTTGAAATGAATGTTTTATCTTTAGTTTTCACAACTGCCCTGGAAAATCCTAATTTAATTCAATGTACAAATGAGTTCAACAAGGCTTAGGTCAAGAAACACAGTGAGAGAAAGACCAGCATGCCAATCGACTCTGGCCAGCTCCATAGCCAGGACTGTCTTCATGCTGGGATCAGGGAAAGGAGCATGAGTCTGTGCTGACTAGGAAGACTGTACATTCCACGTGTGGTTGCCAGGGGTATAAATTACCGAAGGAAGTGGCCATCCCTCTTAATTCCTCATATCCTCAAGGTCTAATCAATGGCCCCTGTATACACACAAGTCAGAGTTAACCTGGATTCATGGGTTTGGAAACCAACCCTCACATGTGCTCATGCCAGGACACCAGTGTGTAGGCGAGGCTATTAATGAACAACTCTGCTTTCTCACTTCACAACTGCTTTCTGTTTTGCTCTCTTCTTTCCAATGTCCTTTCAGGAAAGCCCAGCAAAAATCTCACCTTCAATCTCAAGATGACTTTGGAGTATATTCCTGTGGGGTTCCCAGGATCCCCATCTCTATCAAAGGAGATCTTGTCAGTTCTGACTCTAATCCACACTGTACTGCAGGAAAAACTCAGAGTGGTTTGAACCAACAGTCTTGTCTAGGGACACTGCAGGACTCAGAAGCTGCTGTAACAGCTTTTGATGTGACAGGATCACGGTGTTTTACTCCTTAATTTTCACGTAAACTATCAACCCTTTGTTACTGGGGAAGGAAGAGACATACAGGAGAACAGGGAAAATTTAAGATTTTATAAGAAAATATAAGATTTACACCTGAATTTAAATGGCCAGTGATCTCTGGGATGATGGGGACATTGTTTCTCATCTTGACAAGAAAACAGCTATTGGGTCCAGGCCAGATTCACCTGAAAGGTACATTCCCACTGCCACTCAGGTACATTTTCCTGTGAATGACATAGCTTGTGGTTGGAAGTTGAGTGTGATCTGGGCTGAAGTTTATGTTCACACTGCACACTTGGTCAGCTCTGCAATCAACATTGTATGCAGCACAGAGAAGCTAGGTGGTGAGAGCACCAGAATGTTATGTGCACTATCTATCTAACAGCAGTTCTGTGTGTGTTAACTTGGTGGCAGAGTCTTATCAAGTAGTCTCTATAGCTGCAAAATAGAAAACTTTGGAGCTGTTGGCAGCCAACAGTTATTGCTATGGGCTTATCTGTGCCCTCCCAGCCCCCTCTGGCCCTCAGTTTGTATGTTGTAGCTTTAAACTCCACTGTGACTACACTGGAGATGAAACCATTAAGCAGGTAATCATAGTAGAATGAGGAGGGTGGGCCCTAGTCCAACAGAACCATAGGAAGAAGGGATGGCAGGGATGTGCAGAGCAAAGGCCGTGAGAACACAGCAAGGTGGATGGCACAAGCCAGTCTCTGAGGGAACAGACAATACTGGAATGTACAGCCTGAACTCCCAGACTCCAAAACTGTGAAATATAAATGCCTGCTGCTTGAGCACGTTGTCTGTAGAATTCTGTGATGGCCACCTGGTTTGACTAAGCCAGCCAGGAAGTACAAAGCTGAAGTGCAGAAAGCAGTACACCAGAGTTCTGACAGCATTTAGTTGTTTCTAAAACCCAATCTCGTGTCAGTGATGCTTGCAAGACAAAAACCTTAGCATCACCGGTGACTGGTCACCACACCTCTCAAGACCATTGCTCATCTGCAAGCTGAGCGCCTCCTGTTTATAGTAACATTCCAAACATTCCAGGGTCATACTCTGGGCCTTTCCGGGGTTTGCAGCAGGCTCTGCTGTTTTTGTTTCTGGGTCTTGCTCATGTAGTTTTATTCTTTTCTACTCTTGCTCCTTATTCAGCTCTTTTCAGGACTTTTATTTTGCTATCCTTTCTCTCTGGCAATAGGCTTTCCCAAGAGTCCAATGTGTAATGACTGCAGGAGGAAGAGGCGAGGGCCACGGCCAGGGCAGCTCTCGTGAGGCAGTGCAGGGACTCACTTGGGCAGGGCTCCCGTGTTCTTTTTAGCTTATCAGTCCCTCAGAGGATCAAAGGAAGAAGTCTGACAGCTAGACTTATTAACATCTGCTTGCTTTTGGTTAAAAACCAAGGGAAAAGTCACGAAGACTTACAGAGTCACCAGCAGCATATATTTTCCAAATTTAGAAGGCTTTCCCTTATTTTTAAAAATATAAGAGTAAGCTGCTTGGGTGGGTAGTACAGACCCTTTAAAGTCTCCCCTTATCCACAGGGAATACTTTCCAAGAGCCTCCATAGATGCCTGAAACCACGGATAGTACCGAATCCACATACAATATGCTTTCTTCTTATGCAAATGTACTTATGAGAAAGTTTAACTTATACATTAGGCAGAGTTAACAATAATAAAATAGAATTATTATATTACACTGTAATAACATACAATAAGTTATATGAATGTGGTCTCTCAAAAAAAGTCTTACTATTTAAAGTTTGCAGTATTTGCAGACGTCGGGGAGCACGGGTGACGGAGAGAAGGAAAGCGAAGCTCCACCTGGGAGGGGTGTCTGCAAGTCTGTGTGGTGGTGATGTCCTTGAGTCAAGCACCAACGCTGCAAACATCGTATCTGGTCTACTTTGTGGTTCTCAAAACACGTTACACCTGCTAGTGACATTCCTCTTTCTAGATGAAAGGTAAAAGGGGAATGAAAGAGTCACCACAGCACAGCCGCCTTTCACATATACATGCACATGAGCCACAGAATTATGCTTACTCTCTAACAGTTTAAAACTTAGAAATAACACAAAAGTGTCAAAACTCGTAAACTATTCTGACCCAACCCAGGAGAGCAAATGGTAGGATACAGGTCATCAATGAAGAGGGCGATGAGAGCTGGCAATTGGGTTAACAGAATTAAGAGCAGTTTGGAAACTTTTTTCCTGACGTCTTATTTCTTTTCAAATTCTACTGACTCTGAGCTGAATTTTAGAAATTTTTAGTAAGAGTGGTTACAGTCATTTCTTTTGGAGTCTGTTAGTTAGCGCTAGAATTAACCACTGGAAAGAAGCTGAAAATGATTCTTGTGTTTGCTTTCTGAGCTGCTGGCCTGATAGGCTTCCATCAGCCCTGCTGCTCACGCTAGCCATAACCACTGCCTCCTGCCAGACTGTGCTGTGCCCACCTGGTCCATCTCAACCAAATTCAAGCCTACATTAAAAATGTTTATTCTATTGGGCTCCACACTCTTTTAATACCGGCCCATGCTAACTCATTGAAATGCTAAAGGAACTGTCCCTGAGGCTACTTTATAAAGGTTGGAGATGACCTGGGATGATACTGATTTACCCATTTAATAGGTTTTCAAAATCCAAACCAAATAAAACACAACCATGCCACATCTAAATTACAACACTTTATTGCAGCATCGGCAAAGGTCAGATTTCTGAAGCTGGTGAAGATCGGGCAGCATTTCCATGTGAAATGTTACAACTTTACAAGTTTTGTTTTTTATTTAATTCTACATGCAGAAACTGAAACATGGTAAAAGAAAAAATGCAAAACAGCTAGAAAAAAGATGTAATTAAGTTGTAGCATACAGATGTGCTCTTTAACTAAATTTACTATGCCTATTGGAAAGCAAAGGAAAGGCAACTATCCTAATAAATTAACAAACTGCCAGAAACAGACTAAGAACCCTCATTTCTATTTAGTGGGGGTCAAAACAAAACAAAACAAAACAAAAACAAAGCAAAAGCAAAATCAAAGCTCTACTGTTTCCATACTTTGTTTAGAGACAGAGGCTGTAAACCCATGAAGGTCAACAAAATCTTCTGATCCATTTCTGTTGTCCTTCGTCCATCGTCTGTGACATGCTGACTGGCACGCTGTTTGTTTTCAATGATACTTACAATGGGCTCAACTCTCCCTGTTCTTAGGCTGGTATCAGACTTCCCTAAGCATCTGACTTCATGCTCTTTGTATACTAATAGTCTTCACATTTTCCTTTTACCCTAATAGGCAATTTTATAGTACTGACTCTGATGGATAAAACTGATTTTTCTCCCTCATCCCTTGTTTCGCTTGAAACAAATTCCTAACAAAAGCCTTCCTGGTGGATTATCTGGTATTTGGATATCTTTCATCATTTTGTTGTCCTGCATGTAAGTTTTTACTAGAAGGTTTTACTGCTTGCTCTATACTTTTCTACTGTAGTCCTGGAGCCCCCAAATGTATCTTCTTCCAACATGGGATGTTCAATTCAGAGACACTGTAACTCAAATCAAGTTTAAAACTCAAGTTCATTTCCCCCATACCATTACCAATACAACCATTTCTTCTCCGGCTCAATCATCTCATTGACGCTCTTCTTGGTGTAACTGCTCAGTGGTCAAGTCAACCATCTCATTTCTTGACTGCCATTCTCAAGAGAAGATTAACCCTCACGTGATTTCCATTACAAAAGGCCGTTATGCCTTATCTGGAAGCGTTGGCTTGTTCCGGTGTTGGCAGAGGCTGCTGTTTCCGCCTCATGGCCCCAGCCTGTCCCAGGTTTAGATTCGCAACTCTCTAGACCGACATGCTGAGATGTGTCCACTGCTCTCATTCAATTGCTGGAGGACTCCACTATCCACAACATCAGATACAGGACCTAATGAAATGACACGTGCTGCTGGATCAACGTCTCCTAAAGGCACAAACAGGGTAATGTTAAAGAACTAGTGCTAAGGACAAAGCTCCAGCAAGAAGGGCCACCTAAACACCACAGACCGCTGTTTATGGCTGTCTCCAGACAAATTAGTGCTTTTAGAGGAGTATGTGAACTCTGATGGACTAAGACACAATAAAAGCACAGACACTAAAAATAGCAATTTTTTTTTTTTTTTTTTGGTGGGACCCTCACTGGCAGCCGGGGAACGAACCGGCACTGCAGAGGCTGCGGGCAGCCTCGCATCCCAGCGCTCAACTGCTGTGCCACCAAGGGGGGCCCTAAAAATAGCAATTCTGATGGTGATGGAAGGGGTGGTCCCGTCCTGGTAACTTTCCAGTTACTAATTTCTAAGATGCTGCAAATTAATGGTTTGTACTATGGTTGACTTGTATACTCCCAGAATCACTGTGTTGTAGGGTGTCTCAGAAGCTCAAGAATGTTACCTTATATGGAAACAGGGTCAATGCAGATGTAATTAGCTCAGAAGAGATCATACTGTAGTAGCAAGACCCTACTCCAGTCTGACTATATAAAACACACACTGTGAAAACACACACACACACACACACACACACACACACACAGAATGCTACATGAAGATGAAGACAGATTAGTAGTGCCCTGGAAGCAAAAAGATACCCAAGATTGCTGGCAAACTATCAGAAACTAGGAGCGAAGCATGGAAGAGATTTTCCTTTATAGCTCTCAGAAGCCATCAACCCTTGGATTTCCAACTTCCAGAACGGTGGAACAATACTGTTCCACTGTTTTAAGTCACCCAGTCTGTAGGACTTCGTTACAGCAGTTCTCGCAAACTAATACAAGTTCTCACAAGGTAAATTTAAATAGGAAGAAGCTTTCAAACAAAATATAAGCAGCAAGCTAAATGGGGAAAAAAAGGTCAGTAACACAAGTATTTCCTGAGAGAAAGAGAAGGTAAAGCATTCCTCCTGAAGTCAAGACAAGTAGTCACATAAAACAGAATACTTCAATAAATGCAGTGAATGACAGGGAGAGTAAGTTCACAGTCTTGAATAAAAAAGACACATAGCAGTGATGAAAGTGTAGGGTGTCACTTGGCTGGTTTATAGGCAAGTAATCATTCTGAGAGATTTGAAAATCTAAGAGCTTCAAAGAGACAGTATACACTTTGGGTTAAATGCTGCTCTAGAAAGGGCTCTATGTCATAATAAAAATACCACTCATTTAACCTTACAAGGAGGATATATGCCAATATCTAATAAAAGCTCCATTCTCCTAAGATGGGTTAAAAAAAAGTCTAAGAGTGTGGTCCATGCACCAGCAACTTTGATATTACCTGGGAGCTTGTTAAAAATGAATCAGAACAAGCAGCTTAATAGGAGTTAGATGATTAAAATACATACTGTAAACTCTGAGAAGCACTGTTATAATCCATATGAATTTGTAGCATATAAACCATATATGCTACTAACATTTGCCAAAGATGTTCTGTTTCATAGTTAACACTGAAAGAGTAGAAAGCCACCAGGTCCTGCATTACAAAAAACCTGAAGAATTAGAGTGCTGCTGCTCTTCTGACTCATTACAAGCAAATGCCTAGAATTTGTTAGAGCATCACTCCCTAGTCAGAAGGGCTGAAATTATTTCAAGGATCTCTCATTAAAAAATAAAAAAAAAAACACTGTAATTAATGCATGTAATTATTACATTGTAATAATGTAATTATGGATCACCAAAATCCACAAGTAAGAAAAGCTTTAAACTGCTTTCACAGTTTTCAAATTTTCCTTTATCTGACACATAATGTCAATGATATTAATAATGGGGAGGCTGGGGGGAGAAGAACACTAGATTCTTGAAGTTAGATTCAAATTGGAAAAGTTTCTGACTCCACTCATAGAATTTTGTTTTCCCTCTTGTGTATAAGAATTCACCACTCAGCATATTCTAAGATATTTGATGAACCACTGCCTCTAGATACACATCTTTAGCTTAGTTTGGCCATGCATTAGAAACAGGAGAAAATAAAGAGAAGTAAACCATCAGGAGGCTCTATCCCATTAGCTGGTTCATCAAAATACTGTGCTTCTTCACCTAAAATGTAAGTTTAGAAAATGGCAAAGAAAATTTGGTCCCCAGAAAGCGCAAAACCCCACGTTTACATGCTTGTTTGTCCTCTCCAGCACTCACCCACACCTGCGTTTTAAGAACGCTGGCTCTGAAAGAATCACAATACTTTACAGCAGACCATCTTTAAGAATAATCGATTTTTCCCCCAAGCTGCAATTTTAAGAAGAGATTTAAAACAGGCTGAAACAGCTCACCAGAGCTGGGATTCTCATAAAAGGAGGGAACAAGAGGAAAACGCAAGGAAGCAGAACACAGGACGAAAGTTTATTAAATGACTTAACACAGTTTTAAAAAGTTCCTTTTGTCTATTTAACAAATATTTACTGAGCATCTACGTGCCATGAGTTTTGGAAGAGAAAAGAGACACAGTGTTAACCCTGCCCTCAGTTTTCAGCCTCATGGGGGATGGAGGGAAACTGGGCAGGGGCTAAGCAGGACAGGGTCTGTGGAATACAGCAGATCAGGGCACACGTTATGCCGTACCCTCGGTCAGGCTTTAGAATATTGAGGTAATACCTGACAGAAAAGCAGGAATTATTAGGGGGAAAGGTACTTGAGGGGTCCCAAAAGAGGGAAGCAAAAAAGAATCTGATTAAGAGAAGTAAAAGGCCAGCTTGGTTGGAAGCAGGGAAAGAATGAGAGATGAGGTCAGTAAGCTTAAATCGACACCCCTATCATGCAGGCATATGCTGACCTATTGAGGAGTTTGGACTTTACCCTACATGCCATGAGGAGCCACTGGAAGATTTTAAGCAGAAGGGCTCATATAAACAGAAAGCAAGTTTGCATTTTAGAAAGAACACTGAAGGTGTAGCAGAGAAAATGAATTGGAAAGGCCTGAAACTGGAGACTGAGAAGTAACGCAGGATGCTGCTGGCATTAATCCAAATGAAGAGTGATGAGAGATTGATCTAGAATCTTTGCTGTGGGTGAGGGAATAAAATGGGCAAGAGTGAGTAGTAGAATCAGAGAATATTTAATTAACTTCACATGTAAATTGAAGGGAAGATGACAGTCAAAAATAACACTACCCTTTCTAGTTTCCAATCACTGACCTAGAGAAAGAAGAGTGAGGCTTGGAGGCCCAAGACCCATCGAAGTGAATATTTCTGTGAGACATCTAGGCGACTTAGAGAAGCTAGATATCGGGTCAGAAACCAGAATGTAAAACCTGGGCCGGAGATATGGATGGTAACTGAGTCACATGGAGAGAACAGAGACAGAGTGTTACCAAACAGAGGAAAGTATATTTAAAAATTCAGGTGGCAGGGGGGAAAAGAAAGAGTAGAAAACAAGAGAACCACAGAAGTCAAGGGAAATAAGTACATTAAGAGAAAAGGAAGGTCCACATGTTAAGTGCTGCTGACACAATTAAAAGTGACTAAGGGAAGCATGAGGAGGCAGCAGGGGGCTGGGGTGAAGGCAGTTCTGGTGAAATGGTACAGGAAGGCAGCAGGCTACAATGGAAAAAAGAAAGCAAGCAAACCTATCCAATTTTTCTAAATTTCACTGACTGGGGGGTATCCAATATTTCTAAATTTCACTGACTGGGAAGGGAAACAGCAAGTAAACAAAAAAAAA